CAAAAGTTTTATTTATTTATCTTTGTTTTTTATGTTTTTGAGACAGGGTCTTGCTGTGTAGTTCAGGCTGACCTTAAGTTCACTATGCAGCCCAGGCTGGCCTCAGACCTGGAGTGATCTTCCTGCTTTATGTAGAACTTTTCAAGCCCTTGGATGTCAGAAAATCAAAGTGGTCATTTCATGTTGGTACATGCACCAGTGTCTCCGCTTAAGAGGAATTTCACGGCATCCACACAAACCCCTTGGTCAAGTTAAATGAATGCACAGGTTATGAAAGTTGTTGTTCCCAAGTTGGAAGTGGTGCTGAGAAGAGTGGAAGATGGGGCTGTGGCCTCCCTGGGCACTGAGGCACATGGATCCTAGGTGTAGGATGTTGCCTTATCTGCACTGCACAGTAGCTGGCCAATTATACACCCCTGCAGTCTGGGTACATCCCTCCCCAAAAGACCATTCTCTGGACAGCCTGCACTTGCAGGTCCTTTCCCACTGTTCAGGAGGGTATGGACTTGGCTGGGCCTATCTACATGGGACTTCTGGCCCATGTTATAAAAAGTAGCAAATGTATTTTGAAGCAGAGCACATCTAAACGTCAAGCATTCACAGTTGGCAGTTTCAGCCAGAAGTCACACTTGGGCTTGCTTCTTTTTTACTTTGGGGAGTCCACAGGTATCTGTTAGGGTTTGCTAGAGGAACAGAATCAATAGGAAATATATAGCTAATTATGAAAGGGATTTATCTCATAGGCTCACAGAATCATAGGTGAGAATAGTCCACAAGGGCAAGGGGATCTAGAAGCATAGCTATGTTCCAGAAGCTGGAATCCTCAAGGATGGGATCAGGTGTGCAGCATCAGCCTGAGTCTGAAGCCTGGAAGCTACCTGGAGAGTCAGTGGTGTGAGAGTCTATTGAAAGGCTGAAAAGTTTGAATCTCATATCCACAGACAAGGCAGCAGCATGACACCTGCTAGAGCAGAGTGAAGCCTTAAAGCATGGTCTGACTTCCCCCTTCCCCTTTTGATCCATCTGGCTGCAAGCCTGTTATTACCCGTGCCACCCACAGTCAGTGTGGTCTCTATCTCGGTTTGCTGGCCTACATGGCAGTCATCTTTGGAAAGCACACAGTCAGACACAGCCAGCGGTGTGCTTCACTAATCTGCTAGATGTCTCAGTCCATTCAAGTTGATCATCAAGATTAACCATTGTGCTATGACCTTAAATCTTAATGTGCAGAGATTGGCTAAGTACTTTTTGTATTATCTGTGGGTGTTTTTTACTGTGTGTATGTTGTGGAGGAGCAAAAAGTCAGGACATTGTTTCCAGAGCAAGTGCAGCAAGAGGAGCCTCTGACAGGGCAGCCTGGTGTTGGGGAGACGTAGTGAAGGTGAGAGTGAGAGAGGACAATAAGGGACAAGGGAGGGCAGAGGAGGTCAAGTGGCACGTGGAGGTGGCAGCAACTGGGCAGTAGAATTGGATTGCAACAGGTTGAGGGGTGAGGAGATTGCATAATCTGAAGTCACTGATCTTACTTAATGTGGCATCTCTCCATAGTCCTGTCCTGTTAGAAAACCCCTGGCTTCCCTCTGTCACAGTCTGAGCAGGGACAGGGGGCTGGAATAGTAACCATTGCATCCCTCTCTTGGTGGACTTGAGGGTTTAGATTTTCACCGGTGTCCTTTTTCTAGCATAGTTATTTGACTTTTATTAAAAGCATGTATCCATTTGAACAGGGCAGTTTTTTCTTTATTTAAAAATGTGCACGTTTCTGGAGCTTGTGCCTCTGGGCAGCAAAATGGTGGGGGGTTGCTGGCAGGGAATTCTGGAGAGGCATCAGTTTCAAAGTGGAAGGAAAACCACCCACAGCTCTTTGGCACACTTCAAAGGTGACATAGGTGTCAAATGTGGTTTGGGGGGATTGGAGCCCACCAAGCTACTCCTGAATATGGTGTGTTTCCAGAAGTGGGCAGTGGTGTTGATAAACACAGTAGTCGCTAGTGGCAGACCCTACCAAGAACGACAATGAAGTACCCCAGGAATTCTGGACCGGAGTGGGCGTGTCCTGGCTTAGCTGCATCTTCGTTGATGATTGTTCATGGGTGTTCTGTGCCCAGGATAAATGGCATACCATGTTGGCCATGGAGAAAGCCCAGTTGAGGCTGTCAGGCAGCCAGAGAAGGTGAGGCTGCTGTTGGAGTATGAGGCCAAGAAGCTGAGCCTGGTTGATGTGAGCCAGGTCTCTGTGGTCTACACATTATTGACAGGTTTCTGGGGACCAGTGGTTCCTGCTTGTGTTCTTTGGGGTGGAGAGTTGCTGACTCATTCAGGCTTTTGTGGTACCTGCGGGTCTCTAATGTGTCCATTACAGGAGTACCTAATTACACTGTGTTCAAAGTGTCTGAAACTGGTTTCCTTTGTTTCAAGCAATTCTAGCTCCCAAAGTTCCTGTGTATTATAGTAAGCCATCTTCCCTACCTTTTGAAAACTAGGTATATAGCTAAGCTTTCCCCTAAAGTACCCCCAGTCTTCTGGGCGACCAGGGTGTATTTCCCTGTCTTGCTTTCTTCAGTCTCTCTGCTGCCTCCCCATGCCCAAGCCTTTCTGAGACCCTTCAGTCCTGTAGTCTTGTCTTCCGGCTGTGTTTGAATTATGTATTCTTTACTGTATTACTTCTCCCTCTTTTTACCCACATGTAACTTGTTTTGGGAGCTCTACCAAATCACTCTAGAGTAAATAATTTGTCTCTCCAGCTGGACAAGTGGTACAGTCAGTGACTTGGACCTTTTTTTTTAACAACTCCTGCAGTGTGTGGACTCTAGTTCCCTCAGTGCTTTATTGTCTCAATGGGTCTGAGTGAGAACACAGTCCACCTTTCCTAGTATCTCAGTGTGTAGGCCTTCAGCCCACATGGCTGCAGCAGCCCTCATCCTACGTCCACTTCCATTCATCTGTACACCTGTGACACCGAGCTAACTCATCAGTTCATACTGTGACCGAAGGGAAGACACTATGGGGTGTCTAGGGGATTACAAGCTTTATTCCTGAGAAGTTTCACTTAGTATCTGCCACAGTTGAGACTTCTAGAGGAAGAAAAAAGACGTGAGGTTTTTTTTTTTTTTTTGTCTTTTTCCTTTTTATCGGTACCAGGGATCGAACTCATGACTGCCTGCTTTCAAGGGAGGCGCTTATGGCGCTGAGCTAAACCCCCAGCCCAAGACGTGAGGTTTTACTTCGTCCATTTTTGGGTCTCTTTAGAGTCAAGCCCCCCTCCCCTTGGCAAAGGAATATACTTAACCTGAAGCATTAATTAGGGGTGGGGGAAATCCTGGTGGAGTAAGTGAATATGTGCATGGAATACAGGTTGTGTGGGCTATCTGTGCCGTGGTTCTGTCTTACTCTACTTTCTATGATGTTGATGAAACAGGATACCTCTAAAGGAAAAAGAAAATGACTGGAATTAGCAAGAATAACAATTTATGTGATTAAAATTTGAACACAAGAACAAAGAACAGTTGGAGGGGAGCATGTGCTGGAAATAGGCTTGCTGAGGTGTGGTTTTTCTTGTCTAGAAACTACGGAGTATATAGTGAGTTTCCTTTAAAAGATTTCAAGTATAAAAATTTTAAAGTTTAAAACAACTACCATGCACAAAACAAAAGAGTAGGAAATGCTCATAGCAAGACCTGTGTTGGCTTCTGCAGAACCCAGAGTTAGTATATGGGTGTTTGCAGCTCCCCATTCCTGGTCAAGGCCAAGTAGGCTGCACAGGTAGAGTGGTCTTCCTGGGTGTTGGTCACCTCGAGCCTCTCTCCTGGGTTCCCCAGTGTGACTCTGCCTCACTTGGGTCCTTATGCTCAGTTCTTAGGAGAACATGCTGCTGGGTCCTACGCCAGCTTCTTGAAGGCCACTGGCTGTGTGGTAGCTTTTTTTTTTTTTTCTTTACAAGTGGACTTTTAACTTGTGGCAACTTTTTATAGGAGGAACCACATTCCTGCACATGTTACCAGTGCAGGTTCTGAGCTGTACCTGAAAGGTCTGTGTTTTTGAGCTTGGGGCTAGTCCCAGCTGAGATGTGAGGACTCCTCACAACAAGCTAGCCTTGTAACCATGTTAACTGGAAGGAGCAGCAGAGGGACACAGATCAGCTCTACCCTCCAAACCCAGTTTTATTCACAGATAAGCCAGTAGCTGTGCTTGTTCTGTGCTGGAAGGTGCCCCATGACTGGTGCCAAGGTCCTATTTATAGGTGGCCAGTAGTGCATGTCCCTAGACCCAGTTACTTTTACACTTTCCTTTCTTTCTCACCTGTGTTCCTAGGCCCTGCATCCCCACTGTACGGCTGAGGCTGCGTGCAACCCGTATAGCAGAACACTCAAGTCCTTATCTGTGTCTTGTTTCAGATGTGTTGGCTCCTGTGGCAGGTGCCAGAGGCCAATGCCTGTGGGTAGGGGTACATATCAGCTGCCCCACCTGAGTTTACACCACCTGGCTTACTCATTCCTTCCTGGGCTTCTGAGAGGCCAGGCTTCTATGGTGTGGTCCCAGCACTGAATGCCTGCAGGGCAGAGAGTGGTGGGCCATCCCAGAGTTACTGTCAGTTGGCAGAGTTCCAAACAGAGTGCCTGGGGACTTAATTGAGACCGTACTGTACATAGGAGCTCTCCCAGCCTGCAACCCTCTGGAAGAGGTGGTGCAATAGTGGGTAGAGACTTGGGTGGCTAGCTGTGGTTCCTCCCCTCTAGGATCCCTTGCTACAACTCGGAGGCAGCGCTATGGTCTCAGCTTGCAGTGGGGTGACAGCAGCCCACTAGGATTCCTAGTATGTTAGAAGCATGATAGGAACTTACAAATAGGCGTGGTCCATGCCTGAAGCAGAAAGGCTCTCCAGCTGCTTGGTGATCTTCCCTAAAGGGTTCCTGGACCCCATTTTGTTCTGTGTGCTATGAGAGGGCTGTGTGGATCTTCTCTGCTAGGGTCTGGCTAACCAGATTCTTCTGTATTTCCAGGTCCTGGCAAGACTCCAACCCTGGGTGGTGGCTTCCATGTGAACCTAGGAAAAGAGTCAAGAGCGCAGACCCTGCAGAATGGTAATACTGTGAAGGCCTCTGACCTTGGTGGGACTAGGGTTGATGGTGCATTAGATGATGAGGGGTTGCAATGTGGGGTTAAAGGGTGAGAACACACAAGGCTTCACCTACTACTTCTGGTCCTGCTGCATCCATCCACCCAGGCTTGGCTTTACCTTGTGGCCTGCCACACCCTGCTACCTTCTAAACCCAGGGTTAGTACACTTCTGGGAGGAACTGCTCCTTTGTTGCTTCCACCATTATGCGGTCCTTCCTGGGCATTCCTGTAGTTCCAGTGCCACTTGCAGGTCCCTGGACCCTGCTACATTTGTAACTGTTTGCTCTTGGTCTTTGTCAAGATGAATATAAAAACAGCAAATTTGTAGCACTTTGACATGGCAGTGATGTTTTCATTGTATTTATTTAACTGGCTGGATACATGCAAGTCTTTTATAGATATTTGATTTGCAGGAAATTTTCTTCCATTCCATGGGCTGTCTTTTCAGTTCTTTTTTTTTCTTCTGGTACTAGGAATTGAACTCATGACCGTGCACTTGCCAGGCAGGCATGTGTGCTACTGAGCTATATCCCCAGCCTCTTTGCAGTTCTTTTTTTTTTTTTTTTTGTCTTTTTTCTTTTCATTGGTACCAGGGATTGAACTCAAGACTGCCTGCTTGTAAGGCAGGCGCTTATGCCGCTGAGCTAAATCCCTAGCCCCACTCTTTGCAGTTCTTGATGGGGTTCTTTGAAGCACCAGGATTTCCTTCTGGGAATGTCAGTTTCTCCTTTCATTGCCTGTGCTTTTGGTGTTGTAAGTAGGGAACATTACCTGATTGGGTCTATATCACAGAGATCAGTGCTCATGTCTGCAGTTTCATGGTGTCAGCCCTCATATGTAGATTCTGGTCTAGTTAATATGAGCATGTGGCATAAGCAAAGGGTCCAGCTTCCTTCTTTGCATAGATACCCAAGATTGTTTGTGGAAGAGATTCTACTTTCCCAGTTGGCACCCTCCAGCTACTCTTATTGTGAATCTTATTTCCACATTGTCTGTTCTTTGTTGTTGTTGCGTGTTTTTTCTTTGCAGTACTGAGGATTGAACCCAGGGGCTTGCACATTGCTGGGGAAGTGCTCTACCACTAAGCTATATCCTCCCTTTCTCTCTTGCTAAGTTGCTTAGGCTATGCTTGAATTTTTAATCCCCTTGCCTCTCTTGAGTAGCTGGGATTATTGCATGTGCCATCATGTGTAGTCAGATTCAAAGTTCTGTCTTATGGACTGTATATCTGTGCTCAGGTGCACCTTACTTTTGGATTTCAGCTTTGCAGTTGTGTCCTGCTCCTGACCCAGCTGGATAGCTTTAAATCTGAATTTGGCTTCAGAGTGTGTAATTGCCTTTCTGAAAAAAATCATAGAGATGATCCAGCCCATGGGTCAATCCACGGGGTAACCACCTGGAGGAGGAACGGGGATTAACAAAGACAGGGCAGGAGACGAGAGATGAAGACAAGTTGAGGAAGTCCAATCAAGTCTTGTTTATTGAGGAAGTGGTCGCAGCTTTTATAGGGCGAGGGCGGGCCAGTGGGACAGGAAGAGGCTATGGAATGATCTCTGATGGGTCATCATCCCGTCTGTGTATGTGGCGTGAGCAGGAGAGGATCATGGTTGATGTAGGTGCACTATGTGCCCATATAAGGAAGAGGCGGGGAAGACAGCAGCGGGGCGGTTGTGTGGCTCCCTACACAGAGATTGATGAGCATGGTGGCACACACCTGTAATCCCAGCACTAGAGGAAATTGCCATGAGTTTGAGGCCAGCCTGGGCTATATAAGTGAGTTCAAGGCTAGCCTGTAGTATATAGTGAGAACCTATCTCAAAAAAAACTTTCAAAAACCCAAAAACAACAACAAAAAACCTCTTCCACAAAGATGGAAAGAAAGAAGCTGGCCATTCCCACTGTCTGTGAGGGCTGTGTTCCTGCCTTGACCACCTTGCACTCTTGAGACTCTGGATCTGTGAGGCACATATTCAAGAAGGGATCTGGTCTCTGCCTGTTTGATTTGTCTTCCTGCTGGGATGCTTGTTGGAGCAGTTTTAAGTTCCAGGCTAAACTCGGAAGAGCCCACACACTTCATCCACACCCATAGCTGGCCTTCACAGTGGGGGGCCCCTGTCACCATGAATGAACCCATACTGACGACAGCAGTGTTGGAGCCCACTGTGTGCGTCAGGGTCCCTGTCTGTCATACGTGCGGTGGTGTGAGCAGGAGTACACTGCTGTGTGTCCACCACTGTGGTGTCACGCGGAGGCCTATAGCTTTGGGTTTTGTCTGTTCATCCCTCCTCCCTCCTGTTACCTGCAACCACTGCTCTACATGGTCTCCCAGAGTATGCCGGAGGCTAGTGTCACACAAGATGTGGCCTTTTCAGGCTGACCCCTTCTAGTTGGGAATATATATTCAAACTTCCGCTATATTTCTCCATAGTTTACCATCTTATTTCTTGTTAGTGCGGAATAATATTTCATTGTCTTGAGATGGATCAGTTTCTTTTCCTTTTGTGTGTGTGTGTGTGTGTTGGAGCTCAGGCCTAGGACTTGTGTGTGCTAAGCAAGCTATACTGAGCTACACACCAGCCTACATGGTTTATTTATTTATTTATTTATTTATTTATTTTTTTGTCTTTTTCCTTTTTATCGGTACCAGGGATCGAACTCATGACTGCCTGCTTGCAAGGCAGGCGCTTATGCCGCTGAGCTAAATCCCCAGCCCCCATGGTTTATTTATTTTAAAGATGTCTTGGTTGCGTCCAACTCTTAGCAGTTTTGAAGAAAGCTGCTATAAACATCTGTGTGCAGGGAAATAATGAGCATTGTGGTTTGGGGCGAAAGTATATACAGTTCCATAAGAAACTGCCAGGGTGCCTTGGGAGGTGCTTTACCACCTGCAGTGCAGGGTTCTGTTGCTGCATGTCCTCTCTAGTATTCCAGTTGTCTTTTTGCTGGATTTTGGCCATTCCAGAATGTCCTTGAAGTGCATCAGGCTTTTTATTGCTGTTTAATGTTCATGATGTGAATCTATACATTTACTTGTCTATTTCCCTGGGTGCCTTTGGTACTGTTTTCAGCCACCCATTTCCTGTGCAGTCTCCTGGTGGACACAGGACTCCCTTTTCTTGGACACACAATTGCAAATGAGGGTTTTGGCTTGCTCTGTGGTGTTTGCTCATTATTAATGGTCAAGGTAAGGATCTTTTCCATCCTGGCTATAGATTCACCCTTGTGCCAGCACACAGTGCTGAGGGCTCTGCCAGCTCTGGGTCCGTGTAACCCCTTAGCACTCACTGTGAATTGTTTCGACCACTTATGCTGTGCTAACCATCATGTGTGTGTGAAATGCTTGCTCTTCTTTTATACATATTTGTTTTTTTAATGGGGTTATCTTTTTTATTTGTAGAAGTCTATTATATGTTTGAGTCAGAGTCTTTTTTTGTTTTTTGAGATAGGGTCTCTGTATGTAGTTCAGGCTGCTGTTGAACTCAATACTGTGTTTTCCAAAACAATGAGATCTGGCTGGAAAATAAATCCTGATTTTTCAGGGTGCTTGTAATATAAGCACTGCCCCCAAAAGTAAGACCTGCTTAAGATCATCAGCCAGATGGACACATCTCTATCCGTTGCAATAATGACGGATATACTGAATTATAAAATAATATTAATAATGTTAATATAATTAAATATAAATAAATATTGACATATAATTAAATACAAATTAATGTTATTGACATTAATAGTTAAAATAAATAATACAAATTGTGATAAGTATTTGTAAATACCGAATTGGGCGCCTGTGGACAAGTGGTAAATGCCTATGTAAACAGATTAACTTGAGACTGACTGCTGAATGACTGATCAGAATACACACAGGCATGAATAACATGGATACTTCATAACAAAGGAACATGTGTGTGTCTAATATGAATCTTTGTAATTCAGTATGTCTTGTGTTGCAACAGACATACTTAATACAGTTGTGTGAAATAAAGGCATGTTTTCTGAATTTGAGTCTTCAACTTTTTGTCGCTTGTGTATGGACTATTCTTCTCAGCTGTCATCATTTTTGCTGCCACCCCTGTCCCAGAAGCCTTCAGTGAACGCTGGATTTAGTGGAAACTGTGAAGCCTGGGCCGCAGGAGGCTGTGGGGGGAAGAATCCGTGGGATGGAATCGCGCACAACTGCCCAGAGAACCAGGGCCTGTGGAAGGAGCGGCTGTGGCTGGATGGGAAAGACTGGGGCGAGGCTTTCAGGAAAGGCAGCCACAGAACCTCAGGTGGAATTCAAGGTTCGGAGAGTTAGGGGACTGGTTTTTTTTTTTTTTTGTTTTGTTTTGTTTTTAATTTAAGGAGGAGAAAAATAAAGGGTACAAATTATACAGAATTTCAGAAAAAATAAACAGTAGGAAATCACTAGTTAATAGATTAGATATTGTCATTTTAGAAATAGTTGTTCAAGTTACAAAATTAAAGCATATACAGTGGACATTCAAACAGTGAGACTGCAAACAGTTCTGTCCAGTGATCCAACAAAATTCAGTAACATGGTTATCTATCTTATATACTTAAATATACATGGAGTTATATCTTTTAGAGCACTTTTTTTTCCTCTCTTTTGTACAATGACAATTACACATTTTGGGTTTTATTACTCCCACAGTTCTTATTACTTTTTTTGACGAGAATACAACCAAATGTGACATAACAAAACAGTTAGTCAAATCAAAAGGATGGACATAATACATAATGTAAAAACAAAATACAAGGTGATCAACAATGGTTACCATAATGCCTCTTGCTATCTTAAAAAGAATTGCCTATATCATCAGTTATAATAAAATTGAACAAAACAGTAAAGAACAAAAGCTATAAAACCAAAACATTGGAGACATTACAGGACTTCAGAATGGGCATCATAGTGAATCTTATTGTCTTCACAGTAGTTGCCTATACTCTCAAAGTTGGTACTATCAAGCAAAACAGAATAGAGGAAAATCAGTCAAAACAAGATGGTGAGAGCAATAGAGGGTTTCAAATCAAGTTAATAGGAAATCAAAAAAGTTACTATAATATATTCTGCTATTTTTTATTTTTTCCCTTAATTAAAAAGATAAAAATAAAAAGGTAAATAATTAAAAAAGGAGATTGAGATAAAAGAGGACATAACAAAACAGCACAGGTCAGAACATAAACATTTAAGCAAAATAGTGTTTCACCACAAGATATCCTGACATAAAAATAGTTACCATAGTGTCTCCTTCCTTGAAATCTCTGAGTATAACTTTGTATACTGTAGCATAAAACCATTCAAGAGAATGACAGTATTACAGGGTATTTAGAACCAACTAACAGAAAATGAACAATAGTTTCTGTATAATTTCCTTGTCTATAAAAGTTTTTGTTTATATTATCACATATAAAATCCAATAAGATATAACATGTTAAGACCGATGGAGACAGAAGAACAAAAGCTTGATGGGACTTCAAAACAAGATGTTATTAAATCAGCACTAGCTATTATGATGTCCTGTTTTTTCCAAAATAGCTATTCCTACCATCCAACCTTCTCTGCCTTATTTCTGTTGAGCTCCTTTTCTGTCATTAGTTGTCAGTTTGTCTTCTTCATTTCGCTTTCTGCTCCATTCATTGTGGCCTCTCTGCCACTGTTTCTGGAATCTTGGTATTTTTCTTTTTTAGAATGTTCTGCAGTATCCTCTGTAGAGTTGAATTGGTGGTTGCAAATTCTCTTAGTTCCTCTTTATCCTGGAAGCACCTTGTTTTCCATCAATTTCTAGGGACAGTTGTGCAGGATATATCAATCTTGGCTGGAGGTTATTTTCTTTTTTTTTTTTTTTTTGTCTTTTTCATTTTTATCGGTACCAGGGATCGAACTCACGACTGCCTGCTCGCAAGGCAGGCGCAGGAGGTTATTTTCTTTCAAAGCTTGAATTATTTCCCCCCACGCTCTTTGTGATTTGATGGTTTGTGCTGAGAAGTCTGCTGTAATTCTGATGGGTGTTCCCTTGATCTGTTTCTTGTCTCTGATGGCTTTTAATATTCTGTTCTTATATTGGATTTCTGGAATTTTGATTATTATGTACCTGGGTTTGGGTTGTAGGTGGCTGGAGTCCTGTATGCCTCATACATCTGAGTATCTTTACCTTTTGCTAAATTAGGGAAATTCTCCTGGATTATTTCTGTAAATAGCCTTTGTAGTTCATTTGTTTGTGTCCCTACTTCTTCTTTTACGTTCTTAATTCTTAAGTTATAGATCCTCTTATCGTCTTCTAGTCTTTGTATTATTGCTGTTTGTTTCTTTGTTATTTTTAAGAAGTTTTTCATTTCATGCTCCCACATTACAAATCTGTCCTCCAGTTCAGATAATCTATCCTTAATTTCTTTCAAGCTGTTATGCCAGCTTTCAATAGAGTTTTTAGTTTCCTGGTACTCTCTTTGAACCTGCTTCACGTATTCTATGTTTTCTCTATTTTCTCCATCAAACAGTTCTACCCTTTTTTTCTTTTCTTCCATTCCACCATCTGTTTTTTCTTGGGTGGTGCTTAGCATTTTTCTCTAACTATTCTACTTATATCTTGCTTTACTTCGTTAAATACTTCACTTTTGAACTGTCTATGAGGCTCTGGAGATAATTGCTTTATGTCTATTGGTGCCATGTCTGATACTGCATGTTTTCTGTCCTCATTCTCCTTTGCATTTACCCTTCCTGGATCAGTATTCTCAGGATTGGGGGCCAAAGACCCTTTCTTGTTGCCTCCTCTTCTCATAGTTTTTGTTCCTTCCATACAGGCATATATAGGAGGCCCAGTTTCTTTCTTTGTTGGTTACAATTTGTTTGAATCTGCTGGCTAGGTGTTCCCGCCCACTGCAGTGTACTAGGGAGACACAGACCGGGGCAGCATATGTTGGGCCCACCCCTCCAGGTCAACCTACTGAAGGCTTCACTGCTAGGGTGCACTGCCAGTCGCTGGGACCTGGTTTGGGCTAGCCTATTGGGTCTTAGTCTGCCATGTCACCTAGACCAAGCACTCCCCACCAATCCCGCTTGAGAGGGGAATATGCGACTGAAGTCACTGTAGCGTCCTGTTCCGGCTAGTCTGCCTGGTCCCAGAATGTCCTCTGTTGGAGCCTCCTAGTCTATGGAAGGGTCCCTGTTTCTCTCACTCACTGCAGATCGATGCAGGGCTCCCCGCCAGTCCTGCTCTTGACTCCGCCGATTCCCACTTTCAGAGCTTTCGCATCTCTGTCCCTGTCAGCCAATTCAGACGCAGCAGCAGCAGCGGCAGGAAATTCAAAACATGCTTTCCAGAGGCGCAGGTTCCAGCTTTGCTGCTGAGATTTTATCTGTTCCGGTTATAGCACTGGGATTGCATTCCTGGGTCAGCAGGGTATATGTCCCCTTGCTTAGGACTCCTCACACCGCACCATTCCTGGATTCTAAGCTGGCTATCTCAGAGAGCCTCCATAGCTGCTGTTATCTATCCACCATGTTCTCCCAGAAGCTCGAGTTAGGAAACTGTTACAGAAGATGATGTGACTGTATTTGGATGTGTGGATTTCTGTACGTGAATAAGTAGATTTTTTTGTACATCAGTAAATGTAGATTTTTTTGTACATAAGTAAATTTTTTTGTACATCAGTAGACTGTTGTACATGAAAAAATAAGATATCCCCAGAAAATAAGCCCTATTGCATCTTTTTGGAGCAAGAATTAATGTAAGACTTATTTTCAGGAAAAGGTGGTATGTATCCCAGGCTGGCCTCAGACTCCTGAATGTTGGAATTACAGGTGTTCTCTATCACACCTGGCACAGGCCTCTTTTTGGATGTACTTATTTTGTTGGACTTTTCCCAAGTCTGTATTCTTTTGTTTTCACTTTCTTACTATTGCCCTTAATTATTCGATTTATTTATTTTTAAATTTTGGATCTTTTAAGAGAGGGGCTCACTTTGTAGTTCAGAATGGCATTGAACTCACTATGTAGCCTAGGATGACTTCAGACTCTTGGTAATCTTTCTGCCTCAGCCTCCTGAGTGCTGGGGTTATAGGCATATACCACCCTGCCCAGCAAGAGATTTCTTAATTTTAATAAGGTCCTAATCTGCCAGTTATTTATAGGGTTTTGAGACTTTGAAGTTATTCTCCTGGGTTTTAATCTGAAGAAAATTTTGTTTTAAAATTCACATTTAGGTCTATGTAAGCCTGGCTATCTTTGAAATCCCCTAGGCTGGCCTCAGACTCATCATGATCTTCCTGCTTTAGTTTCCTGAGGACTGGCATTTCAGACATGCACCCCTATGCTCAGCTGAAGCTAGTTCTTATGTATGGTGGGAAGCAGAGTTGAATGTTCGTTGTCTTCAGTGTGAATATCCAGCCCCTAGAACTTTTTTTTGTTTTGTTTTGTTTTCCAGTACTGGGGATTGAACTCATGACCTTGCCAGGCAGGCGCTTATGCCGCTGCCGAGCCCTAGGTCATTTAACAGGAACACCATCCTTCCACTGTGTGGCCTTGGCCAAAGTGGGTCTGTCTGCCCTCGGGTGCCTTCTTGTCTGGATCACTTACTGTGCTCTTTCCTTCATAGGTCTTGAAGTCTGGCAGTAGATGTTTCTCTCTTCTACTGTTCTTTGACACTGTCTTTACTATTCTGGTTCCTTTGCATGTCAACATAGATTGAATGTAAAATCAGCTGTTGATTTTTCTAAGGAAAACCTGCCCAGATTGGGTTAGGATTACATTGAGTCTATAGATCCAGTTGAGATGGTAACCTACGAGGTATAATAATTTTGTGAGTTCCTCCAGATTAATAGTCATTTTGTCTGTGATTAGATTTTATTATTTTGAAGGTAGTAAAATACAACAGAACAAGATGGAACAAAGCTAATTGAGACAGTATTCTGAAATGAGTACAGAACTTCATAGCAGGTTACCGGGATAACAGTAATAGGTACAATTATCTTCACAGTAGTTGTTCTTTCAATCAGGTATAGCAAAATCAAACAAAATACAGAACATTATAGAACTTATCAAAGCAGAATATTTAATAGAGCAATACCATTAATCAGTACAAAGCAAAACAGTGATAAAATATTTGCCTTCAAAGAGATGGTAGAAGAAAATCCCCCTTATTTGCTACATTGCATATAGTCAACCTGCCAAGAGATACTCAGATCTCTGGCTCCCATTTGCTAGCAGGGGAGGGGGCGGGGGTGGCAGGGGATAAGATCTTTGATTCTCAGTCCACACACTGGTAGAGGCTCATGGCTGCATACCAGGGATGTGAGCTGGTTGCTTGGTTTCCCAGCGCCCTAAGTTCCAGCACGGTGCAGATCTTGGGAGACGCTGGGTGGTTCTTGCCCTGCTGCGGCCGCAGCTTGCCTGAGCCACAGCCACTTACCAGGGAGGTGAGCTGGTTGCTTGGTTTCCCAGTGTTTTAAGTTCCAACATGGCGCAGATCTTGGGAGATACTCTGTGAATAGATTTTATTCTTTATGTTTATTTTCAGTGCTCAGCTGAGGATTTAGCTCAGTGGCATAAGCCTGCCTGGCAAGGACAAGGTTGTGAATTTGATCCCTAGGATTCAAATTTTTGTATTTGTCTCCCCCTCCCCATAAAAAAAGGCTACTGTGATATTTTCAGTGCTTGTTACCTTTTTTACTGTTCTTTGCTACTCTCTTTTTTTTGTCTTTTTTTCATTTTTACTGATACCGGGGGTCTACTGCCTGCTTGCAAGGCAGGTACTTATGCCGCTGAGCTAAATCCCCAGCCCCTGTTCTTTGCTACTGTCAAACAGTGGTGAATAGAAGTGGTAGGGGTGGATAGTCTTGTCTCATTCCTGACCGCCATTGTAAAATTGTTAATTATTTTGCTATGAGGACTGATGTTATTAAGCATGTTGTCACATGCATTTCTTTTTTAATTTGATTTTAATTTAATATAATTTTAAGTTTTTATGTAGTTCAGGCTGGTCTTGAACTCATTATGTAATCTAGAATGGTTTCATACAGCAGTCCTCTTGCCTCAGCTTCCTGAGTACTGGGATTACAGATATGTGCAGTCATGCTCTACTTTGTCATGTGTATCTTTGTACGTAGGTGATTCATCAGTTTTTTCTGTTTATCTTGTAGATATGATAAGTTCCATTGGTTGATTTTGTGAATCTTAACGCCACCATCATGTTTGGTGTAAGCCCCACTGGACCGTGCCACATAACTTTCTTATACATCCTCCCCGGAGGTTCTTTTCCTCCTTTCTGTCTTAGAGGATACATTGTTGGTATACAGGAACCTTACTGACTTTTGTATCCTGCTACCTTTCTGACTTTGTTAATTCTAAGAGTCTTGTGGAGTTTTTTAAATTCTGTGTATATGATCATGTCATCTGTGAGTCAGGATGGTTTGACTTCTCCCTTTCCCATACACAGCCCTTGTATTTCTTTCTCTTGTCTGATTGGTCTGGCTAAAGTTTTTAGGATGATACTTGTAATGCCTGGACATGGATGGCAAACTACAGCTCTGTTGGAAAATGTAGCTCCCAGCTATTGTCAACTCAGCATCAGTAAAGAATTAATGAAGCCTAGTTTAAACAAAAAGATGATTTGTTTGAAGATGGAGAAAAAGGGGGAAGACAGGGATGATAGGTAATTTCAAGTGGGGAACACTTAAAAGCTATATACTTGTGGGGTCTTCTCTGCAGATTCTTTTATTGGGTTTCTTTTCTCTGGGCTCCTGGAATCTGATTGGCTCCTTGACTGTTTTTGATCCCCCCACTGGATTTCTTCCATCATGTGACCTTTCCTGTTGTCTCCTGTAGGCTAGGATTTATGAGTTAGAGAGTTTAAAGGTAAGTAGTTTAGGTTTAAGGATTGAGTAAAGAGTTTATGCTACTAGGGACCTCCCTAAGTTTAGTTTCTTTGCTTTTGTCTTTCTGATTGCTCAAATCTAGCTGCCTTTGTCTTTCTGATTGTTTTTCCCTATGTATGAAGACCCCTGTCCCTACCTACTGAATAGGAGTGCTGAGAATGGACACCCTTGTCTTGTTCCTGGATTTATTTATTTATTATTATTATTATTTTTTGTCTTTTTCCTTTTTATTGGTACCGGGGATTGAACTCATGACTGCGTGCTTACAAGGCAGGCGCTTATGCCGCTGAGCTAAATCCCCAGCCCCTTGTTCCTGAATTTAAAGGAAAAGCTTTCAGTTTTTCCCCCGAGTTAGTGTGATGTGGGCAGTTTGTCATAAATAGCTTTTGTTAGTTTGAGCTGAGGTTCCTCTATACCTTTTTTGCTGTTGTCTTTTTGAGACAGGGTCTGACTATGCAGTTAAGGTTGGCCTTGAGCTGACTTTGTAGACCAGGCTGGTTTCCAACTCACAATCAATAATCTTCCTGTCTCAGCCTCTTGAGTGCTGGGGTTCCAGGTGTGTGCCATCATACTCAGCCCTCCGCACCTACTTTTGTCAGGTTTTTTAAAAAATCATGAATGAATGGATGTTGGATTTTGTCAAAGGCTTTTTTGAATCTCTTCAGGTGATCATATGATTTTTGTTCCTGCTTATGTTTATTTTGAGGTATATATTATGTTTATTGGTTTGTGTATGTTGAACCATGCTTCCAACCATCCCAGAGATAAATTGATTTTTTTCTTCTGATTTGTTACATTGTTACATTTGTTACAGATGATTTTTTTCCTTCTGATTTGTTACATTCTATTTGTTGGTATCTTATTGAGGATTATTGCATTTATGTTTGTTAAGGAGATTGGTCTATAATTTTCTTTTTGTCTTTTTAAGACGGGATTTTGCTATGCAGTGCAGGCTGGCTTTGAACTCACTTTGTAAACTAGACTGCCCTGGAACATCCTTTTGCCTCAATTTCCGGAGTTTCCGGAAGTGCTGGGGTTACAGGTGTGTGCCACTACATGAGTTCTTTCTTACGTTCTTGTCTGATTTTGGTGCCAGATTAATGCTAACTTCCAGGAATAAATTTGGTAGTGCTCCTTACCTTTGTATTTTATGGAAAAGTTTGAGGAATATCGATGCTAGATTTTTCCTGAAGTTCTGATAGAGTTTTGCAGTAAATCTTACCAGGTCCTGGGCTTTTCTTGGTAGAGATTTTTTTTGTTGTTGTTGTTCTTTTTCCTTTTTATCGGTACTGGGGATCGAACTCATGACTGCCTGCTTGTAAGGCAGGCGCTTATGCTGCTGAGCTAAATCCCCAGCCCCTTGGTAGAGATTTTATATTATTTTGTTTTATTTTTGGTACTGGGAATCGAACTCAGGATCTTGCACTTACCAGACAGGTACTTACGCCCTGGAGTTATATCCATAGCCCAGTTAAGAATTTTTATTACTGGGGCTGGGGATTTAGCTTAGTGGCATAAGCACCTGCCTTGTAAGCGCGTAGTCATGAGTTCGATCCCTGGTACTGATTAAAAAAAAAAAAAGAATTTTTATTACTGCTTCTGTTTCACTGCCTGTTATTGGTCTATTGAGGTTTTTTATGTGTGCGTGGTTCAATTTTGGAATTCATGTGTATTTAGAAATTTCTCTTACTTTTAGGTTCTCTAATTTATTAGAATATATTTTTTTCAAGTCCATTTTATTTCAAAGAAAAAAGAAGAAAAAAATAAAAACAAAATTTCAAAGCATCAAGAGGCAACAGTGGTACATACATTGCACATTGTCATTCCTAAATCACTCACCTGGAGCACAAGACATTGGCATTCAATTATTAGAACAACCCCAGCACAAACCTTTCTCTTTAGTGAATTCAGAGAAATCAATAGTATAACTGCCTTAACTTTGGTTTTTAACTTTTTTAAAATATTTTTTTTATCGGTACCAGGGATCGAACTCATGACCACGTATGTGCTTGCAAGGCAGGCGCTTACGCCGCTGAGCTAAATCCCTAGCCCTTAACTTTTTTTTTGTCTTTTTCCTTTTTTATATCGGTACCAGGCATCGAACTCACGACTGCCTGCTTGCAAGGCAGGCGCTTATGCCGCTGAGCTAAACCCCCAGCCCCCTTAACTTTTTTATATACATATACATATATGCACATATACATACGTTATTTTAGCTTCTCACACTAGTGACACAAAAAAATGTTCAGACATATGCCTTATTTCACTAATGAGTGTGATCTCATTTGTAAAATATGTTTTTCAAATAGTCTCATTTATTTGTTTTGGGTTTTTTAGGCAGAGTGTCCCTATGTAGTCAAGCTGGCCTTGAACTCACTATGGAGCCAGCCTCCCCTCAAACTCATTGGCAGTCCTCTTGACTCAGCCTCTTGAGTGCTGAGATCACAGGGGTACACCAACACACCCGACTTTGGAGTAGTTTCTTTCAGTCATCCAGATTTCATTGGTGTCCATTATGGTTATATCTTCTTCACTTCTTTTTTCCTTTTTTGGGGGGTTTTTTTGGGTCTTTTTCATTTTTATCGGTACCAGGGATCGAACTCGCGACTGTCTGCTTGCAAGGCAGGCGCTTATGCCGCTGAGCTAAATCCCCAGCCCCCCTTCTTCACTTCTAATTGCACTCACGTAGATTTCTTTCTTTTTCTCTTTCTTTATTTTTTTGCTAAGTTTGGCTGAGTTTACCGGTTTTGTTTACGTTTTCAGAGAATCCGCTCTCCATGCATATTTTTTGATACAGTGGTGATTAAAGACCTCCAAATACAATGAAGAGAAATATTATAACTCCCAATCTAATAGATATCCCATACACGAGTTCATGTTCCCCCAAAATGAAGAATGAATTTTAAGGAACAGTGAAGTTAAGAGTAGGAAACATTGGCTAGGTGTGGTGGTGCATGCCTGTCATCCCAGCACTGGGAGGCTGAGGCAGGAGGATCACTGTGAATTCAAGGCCAGCCTGAACTAGACGCGTCTCAAAATAAACAAATGAGCAGGAAATATTTATTGAGGGAAACAGCTTTTGTCTAAGAGAAACAGAAGGGGACCAGAAAAGTGGTTTACCCTGAGCCCATTTCTCAAAGGAAGTTTTATAGAGCAAAATCACAAGGTAGGACCAAGTCATGAAGTAGGTGTAAGGGAGACAAAACTATGTTCAATAAAATTACAAATATAGTTGCTTAGGTAATATTGGTCCAGTGGAAAATCACAAGGTGGGACAATAGAACTATGATCAACTAAAAGGGTTACAAGTATGGTCCCTTAGGTAGTACTGAAAGAAAAGGACTCTTCCTGGAAAGGATGAATTCAAGGTCTTGGTCTCCCACCTAGGTTGTCAGTCGTTCCTGTTTATCCTTGGAGAGGTAGGTGTAGTCGCTCATCTTTGTTCTGAGGCTTTGCTCACAGTTGTGTTACAGTCTTACCTTCTGCACTGACTCCTTACAGGGCCCACCTCTATCTGACTGCCTGTCACGTTTCTACCTAACTAGCTGTCTGTAGTATTTCAGATTGCTTTTTAGTGTCAAGTTCATTAATTTCCACTATGACATTC